GAGAGCAGAGGGCAAAAATAGATGGCGAGAGCTGGTTTTCAAATGCAGTGGTGCCCCAACGGTTGCCCCAACCTCGGGATAGAAGAAGAAGAAGAACTCTTAATCTTCGGCACTGATATGACCTTGTTGTGTTGCAAGTTCCGTAAGACTGTGGCTAAACCTAAACTTCTTTCCTATCAAACATCTATCGTCTTTATCTCCCCTCCTTCTTTTTTGTGTGTTTTAACTCTAATCTTCGGCGCTGATATGACCTTATTGTGTTGCAAGTTCCGTAAGACTCTGGCTAAACCTAAACGGGTTTCTTTTCTCTCCCTCCCCAGGTCCTGACCACAGACGAGTCGGTGCGGGTGGCGGCCAAACTGGACACCCTGCTCCCTGGTCTGCGTCGTCTGGCCACCTCCAAACTGAACGAGGAGAAAGTCACAGAACTCTGTGACATACTGGAGCAGCTCACAGAGTGAGTCCCCGCCCCTTCCCAATTTTCTCCACATTGTACAGATTGGAAATCTGATTGTGATGGTCTGCAATGTCTGGGAAAAACTCCCCAAACACACAAGCTCAAAAAGTAATGTCTGGGAAAAACTCCCCAAACACACAAGTTCAAAAAGTAATGTCTGGGAAAAACTCCCCAAACACACAAGTTCAAAAAGTAATATCTTGGAAAAACTCCCCAAACACACAAGTTCAAAAAGTAATGTCTGGGAAAAACTCCCCAAACACACAAGCTCAAGAAGGCCAACATGGGATTTGAATCAAGGTCCTCCAGACTGTAACATCCCCAACATATTTAATAGTTTTTGAGGGTCTAAATGCTTAAGTCTATATTCCTGTTGCAAATACGTATTCTCTGTTTTTTAGATGTAGTATTGCTCCAGGAGCTGAAGAAAAAATGATGACCTTTCAAAAGTGGATTTGCGTCTAATAATGGGAATGAATCCCTAAGGCAATGGGAGAGATTTTTGGCTGCAGGTCTACTTTGAGTAGCTTGAGTTTATTGAATGGAAAAAAGCGTGTGTGAAGTGTTTGGAGTGGGTTACTTGGCCAAGGCCCATCTTCTTGGCCTACTGCAATGGTAGAGTTTGGTTTGATTTTTTTTAGGTTTCGAAAATGTAGGCAGCGATGCATGGTCATCTGCTCCTTAGTCCTATGTGGTGCTAAATGGGCCCCACTGTGTGAAGTGTAAGTAGACACGGTCACGTCGGTAGTCTAGCTGTTAGGCTGCGGAACTCGTAATCATGAGGTTGAGGGTTCGGGAGTTCGAGCCGCGGGCCGATGTTGTGTCCCTGGGAAAGGCACTTTACACGAATTTTCCTCACTTCACCCTGATGGGAATGGGTAACTGACCATAGACTGCAGAAGACATTGTAAGTATTTTAGTGTTTTTTGCATCTATTAATGGCAGCTTGCACCGTATGCTTCCCAGGAAGTTGAGATTGTTTCAGAATGTTATCAGGTCTGCTGGGGTAATAGTACAGAAGATTGTAAAGCCCATAGAGCTTGCTGTTGAGTGGGGATTTGCGCCATAGAAGTGATATCTATTATAGACAAGTAGGCTATATCTGGACGTCTCTGTTAGAGGTGGGCTAAACACGGATAATCTATCCGGATAGCCGGATAATTCTCAATGAAACATTGTCCGAATTCAGACTTTTATCTCTCTTTCCTGACCCGTTTGCCGAAGTGGGTGCATCCATTTGTTGAAGTGATGCTATCCCGTTTGCCGAAGTGGGTGCATCCATTTGTTGAAGTGATGCTATCCCGTTTGCCGAAGTGGTTCTAAACCATTTGCCGAAGTGGTTCATATCATATTATTTGCCGAAGAGGTGCACTAACAAATTATCCGGATTTTGCTAAAGCGACTCACTGCCCAGCTCTAGTCTCTGTGTGTGATTTCTTCCCCAGAATGTGTCACCTGAAGGGAGAGAAGGAAGAACAGCACTCGATGAACCAGAATATTCTTTACAACTTTGGTTAGTCATGTCTGATGCCCTAACTTTGTTTTGTCAATCTACAAATTAGCATGCTCATCATAGCAATGTCGGCGGAATGCACAATAAATCTTTTCATATTATGGGAATTTCACAGTGCTCCTGTCTCAAATACAAATAAATCTGTGAAAAAAGAGGAAAATCTGGACTTGGAAATATGTTCCCTTTGTGGGTGTTATGTTTTACTATGTAAATGTGCGTTATGTGCATGGTGCATATACACACACACACACACACACACACACACACACACACACACACAC